TTAAATTTTTTAATGATCTAACTTTTTATGAAGAAACAACCACGTATAAAACAAATTAAACAAAAAAATGTGAATAAAAACATATTATTCAAATGAAACATTATTTACAATGTTTTATTATACATTTTTAATTCTTTAATTTTTTTATTTTGTACTTTTGTCTGTGAATTTTTTATTTAATTATGCGAGTATCACTCTTCTATAATTGAGTGTCATTTTTTCTTTTCTTTACTTTCTTTATCATAAACAAATAATTTTATACCACATTCTTTTAATGTTTAATTTCAGTATTTGGAAATATAGTACATCTACATATGCCTTTATCCTCATTCTGTCTAAAGATGTGCGATTTGCGTATCGATATAATAAAAGTGTAATTGTTACGGGAAAAAAGATTTTTTGCTAAAATGTCGATTAGAAATCACCTTTGAATTTCAAAAGCGATTTATAGCCGATATTTTTACAAAAAATTTTGTTTTTTTCACATAACAATACTTATACACATACATCCCTAATTTTGTCCCGAATAAAACAATACAACTTTTAATTTTGGAAATATGTGTGTGTGTGTGTGTGTGTATGTGGTGTGTGTGTGTCTCCATCTCAGTTTTCTTAGTAGTGTGGGACTATTATTTTTGCCTTCGTTGAAGATGACATTGAGCCGTACGAACGATTTATTAAATAATCATAAATTGAAATTAAAAAAAAATCCAATAAAAGTAGACACCAGACAAACATATATATATATATATACACACACAAAATATTCCATTTATTTATGAAATAAATACTTTTATTTATACATGTTTATCTATGACATGTAAATATAAATAAATGTAAAACATAAATGACAATTTTTGTCAATTCATGATTTACTTCTACAAAGACATCCACTTTTATTAATGTAATTTCAAATATATTTTATCGAATGTAAACTAGTTCACTACGTACCGCGTTGATTCTTATCAGCCCTTTCAATTTTTACATTATACATTTTTGTAATTCTTTTAAACTTTACTGCCAGCAAATATATTATTTTACATATTATACGATTCTTTATCTCCGACACGGATCTCACAACATTCTAACGGAACACACACGATATACCGATACATCGTGTACACGGTTATTGTTAATGCAGGTAAAAAATGGAGCAAGGTATTGATCAATATTTCCGGGGCATACTATTGTATGTGTGATTAATAATAGTTATTGGGCGCGAAAGCTTTTCGGGGCGAGAAAACGTGCGCCGTATCGCCAGGAAGATAAATTCCTGGGAGGATATGCGAGCCTTGAAGCGGATGGAATTTCCGCAGTAAGCACATGGACCACCTCTAATGGCTACCCGATGAAATATGCACGGTAAGCCGCGAAGCATAACCATTTTCAAAATCCCCATTCACGCGGCGACCTAGTTATACACATGCACGTTATATAAACACAACTTCAAGACGACTTGTACGAACATGCTGTACGCAAAACGATGCATTATGCTGTCGCATTAGCCTGGCTCTTAGCCATGTCGCATCATAAATACGTGTTAACAATGTTCGCTAGGTCTTCGGTTTGTGATAATAACATCGAAGGTGAAGCATTCATGCATAGTCGGTGATTTTCTAGTTTCGCATGGCGCATACTATCTTACACTGTTTATTCCCGTTGTTTGATCCGTTTACCTTGGATTCTGTTTTCTTCGCGCTACACTAAAAGTACATTCCGAATACTCGATTTTAATAAGTTCCAGCTGAGAAGATAAATGGGGCAATCATCCGGATTAAAGTCTTATTTCGAAGAGACGTATATTTTCTCTTTTAAATTAATAACTGTTCTTCATGATCTGTGTCAGGATGTCGCAAATTTGATAGCCGATTTCAAAATTAATCTCTCCTATTAACTAGAACTTGAACAGTAATTTAAACTATTTCATACGTAGAAGTTTCGAATTTGCTAATTTTAAAATTTATTACTTTGGTATAACTGAATGATCACGTAATTTTAATAACCAACGATTTCTCTGAAATGTACATCAATATGTTATGATAACGGAAAACGGCACGCGTAACATCGAGAAACAACGACGAAGTTAAAGTTGGTATTGAAACTTGTATCAATGAAATCATGCCCGCATTTCCTCTGGCTGCTCGCCAAGAACTGATCCTCTTGCAAAAGTTATACATGAAGCATAACGCCGAAGAAGTTGGCCACGCGACTTGTTTCCAATATGAAATAAATAAGATTATGCTACAGAAAAATCGTTAAAGCAATTTTAGTAATAATACAGTACACATTTTTAAATAAATGCAACTTGCAGTTTTTAAACTAATTCATTGACGACGAAAATTAAACGATGTAATAATACAATCTTAAAAAGTATCTAACAAAAAATTCAATGCAACTAATAGAAGAATAATGAAGAAAGGAAAAAAAGCAGGAAGTTAAGTTTTTCTTTGCATATGAAAAGACGAAAAAATAACGCTGTTCAATGAAAACAACAGCGAGAAAACGACACAGTTTTCAAAGAAGCCAAAGGGACATCTCTGCTAGATTTACTTGTCTCCAAGATTGTCCTTCCGGTTCCGGAACATGTGATTGAAATTACAACATTGCATGTTCTCATCTCCCGAATGTCATCGGAAACAATTCGTGTCCCATTGACATTTAATTTTGATATAATTTTCATTGATATGATTTTCACGTTCATCATTACAATAATAAATTATCAAGAAAGATCAATATATAATCTTCTGCTGTATTAAAACCAGTTGCATTTGCAATCTATAGTTACAGAAACTTTTATTAATTGTAAATAATATTTTTTATAAATTGTACTAGGCGTAGTTAAATTAAATAAACGTAGCGAATAAAAAATTTAATATTAAAATTAACTAACATGTTAATAATAATCATTATGGTAGGCACTTCTTTCATTATAAATGCTCTGTTAATAAAACTTCTTAGGTCAGGATCGAACCTAGTCTTCTACATTGCTGCGTCTGAAATTTCCTGCCTTTCAGATTCTTCTTTAGTACTCCAATTCTGTAAATCTTAAGTTAGTTATATCATTATCAGTGACGCTGTATAACAGTTTTTTTTATGTATAATCTGCGCAGGAATATAATGACAATATATCGATACTGTTGTTAAAAGTTACAGAATCGGAGTACAGTCTCCGTCTCTAAAGATGTAGAAATCAGATGGCGACACAGTTCCGGGAGGAAATGCTGAAGCAGTCCAGACTTGTCACCATGCGATTTCTATATCTTTGCAGACCTGAAGAAGAATCTGTGCAACAGTGCAGAAGAGTATTTGCGAGTCCTAAGGAATTTTATGAACAAGAAAGATATCTGTTGTTTGGTTTCACAATGGAATATTAATATATTACTTATTTTCGATGTCTAAATTTTTCGTCCACGTTTCATTTGACTATCGCTAATAAATAAAACTTATGATTTCTTCTCTCTCTCTCTCTCTCTCTCTCTCTCTCTCTCTCTCCCTCTAAAAACAATTTTCTAATATTCTATAAAACGTTAAATCTTAAAATATCTACTAAAGTGTTTAGATTGAGACAAAAAATTTCTAAAATCGATCATGAGAGAATCAGCAGAGGATTATAATTATAAAAAATGAAGGAATAACCTCGTGTACAGGAAGAAAATTAACCTGGAACGGAAAGACATATGACGTGCATATGAACGCCGAAGGACAAGATGAACCTCCGCTACTGAGGCTACTTGAAAGGAAGATAACGAGAAAGAAACAACGAAGAAAGAAATTCATGTTGTTGTGTATTCGTTGCATGTCCGAGACTCATGCGTGTCAGCGCGTACGTAACACATGGAGTGACCGGAAACGCATACGGACGGTGTTCGTCGAGTTAAGCTATAAGCAAGCTGCGTACACTTACATGAGTGGTGATATCGCATATACGGCAATTTGAATAATTAACGGTTACGGAGTGTCCCAGTGCACAAGAGATATATCTCTCTATGTAAGACGTTTGCCAATCGACGGACCGAGAAATAAGGGTCATTCGGTTATATCGAGTCGATAAAAACAAAAGTGACTGGTAAATTACATCAAGAGAATAAAAAATGCACTGGCCTTTCTAACGATGACGCCGTGAACCGAGTCGACCTCGGGACGCAAGGCAGTAAATAAAAAAATTAATAATAATTTTTCACGAACTGCAATTGGTAATACAATGTACAATTTTCAATGGTTATTTTGTTATGTAAAGTGATATGTTACGTTCATGAATAATGCAAAATGGGTCGAATTCATTGTTTTAGTGAAGTATCTAAACATTTATATGTAGATACATATGTTGTTCTGAAAATAATTTTATTGAATTATCAAAATAATTAATGTAAGAACAAAATAATGCTACAAAACATTCTAGTCACCCCAATGTACATAATTAGTTTGATAGACAAACAAAATTATTTTCAGATCATATGTACTAAATTTTTAAATACTTCAGTAAAATCATTCTTTCCGTGTTACTTTTGGAAGTCATTAGATTTTTAATTAATTTAATCAATTTAATGCTTGAAATTGCTGTTAAATTAATGTAACGCGAATTAAATTAACGATTAAATTGATTAATCATGCATGAAAAATTAAGCATTAAAATTAAATTAATTATAATAAATTCTTGTTGCTACATTTTCATTAATAAGTGAGAAGACTAATAAATCGATTTCAATATTCACCTATGCTAATTTTTCAACAGAATCACTGGATTATATGCTCGATTCTTTCGCTCTTAATCGATGCACCGCAAGATTCTACCTTTCGAAGCAGCGAACAATCATAAATATACATTGAATCGCTCCGGCATATTGAATGCTTCTGATCTTTCCACGATTGTCGACGAATTCAACAGCATTATTTCTCGGGGAACAATCGTGTTTGTAATTAATATTCCCAGGAAACAACCTGATAGCACGCTTGATTGTAAAATTGATATTAGCGACTAATTAACTTTGCAGACTGATTAACTAAGTTTTACCTTCAATCTGCTGGATTACTATTTGCGGTGGAAAACCTCTTGGCAAAGACTGGGACTTTAACTTACCTGTAACAAAAAGGAAATAGAATACATTATCAAAAAGGTTAATGTTACGATTAATGATTGTTTATAGCACAATCTAGACAAAATAGAATTGAAACAATTACGCAATAGTATTTCGTAATTATATTTTTCTATTGTATTTTTAAATACAAGAGTTTTTTCCCGAAAATACAAATTATTACGCAGATCCATATGAGATACTGACACTGAAATAAATTCGTTATTTTTACATGAGAATAAAATTTTGAGAAATAATATTTATCAATCTAGAACGATATTTCGATGTCTCCTTATTGCGAATGATCTATTTGTTAAATCGCTGAATCAAGGAAAACAAAGTTGACCCTCTTGTTTACCAGCCTAGCAGAACACTCGTATTTACTCATTCTTCAGAATGTCACAACGGATTATCTCCAATCGTAGAAGATAAGCAGGATTGGAACTTCCCTCGTTCTTATATACCGCACTCCACATAAAGATTAATGAAGGTGTTTTCATTGAATTTGGTCCGGGTCAAGCACGTATGATCTGCGGACTGACTGAGCCCAATCCGGCCAATTAAACCAATTTCGAGGACCCTTCGGTCTGTCGGAAATCACTATCGGTGATTTTCTCGCACGTCCTTTCGCAAGGCAGAAACATACGCACGTTATACATATCTATTTGTTCGGATCGCGAAGCATGATCGTGAGCGTACGTGCGTAACGCCGTATTCGTGCGAACATGGAATGTATATGTTGCGGAATTACATGAACCAATTAAAACCACCACCATGTTGATCTGTCGGGTCAATTCCGCGTTCGTTTGCAACACTTCACGCAGTGCATCTCGCTAACAAAGATTGCTTTGTGGTAGAGGTAAAAAATCGCAACTATATATATATATATATAT